TAACCCTAGACATGATTACATAACTGCCCAGGTTTAACCGCAGTGTCCCAACATCCAAATATTTTTGTTTCGTTCTATCTATGACTTTGGTTCTGTTATGAATGCATACTAGTATACTTTTTACAAAATACTTTATATTTTGAAAATATACTTTTAGCTTAGAGCACTTAGGCCCCTTAGTGTTTATAGTTGTATACCATGTAAGGTTCGGTATACTTAGTTCGCTATAAACAAGGGCTCTAATACCAATCTGTCACACCCCGAAACCAGAATGGCGGAAACGCTCCGGGGTGGAGGACGTTATGTTTAGCATCACAACCATTGTACAATAGCAATCATAGTAACACAACCATTACAATGAATATATATATATGAAAATATTTACATCAGTCTGAAACTTGTTTTAAATACACCAAAAGTATGTAGAATATGAAAACATGACTCTTATTGCTCCGGCTCCTCTAAATCCAAGAAGTACATGTCTACTGATTTCCTGAGAATACAAGAAATTTGAAAGAATATCAACATAAAGCTGATGAGTTCATAAGCATTTAGTTTTTAGTGGAAAATGTTCTTTGATTCTTTTGAAAAGTGTACCTCCATAAAATCCCATATTTTCTTATGAAAAGTAGAGTTGAAAGAGTATCTATTAGTAGAAAATAAACCATCAGTTTTAGAAATGCCGGTGTTATCCTGGGAAAATCCCATATTTTCCCTAAAAATAGGATATCCGTCCTAGAGGTAGAGATGCAAGTTTAGAAACCCTTGATTACTATCAGTATATATATATGAAAGTAGTTTTATTACTCAAAATAAAACAAGTGAAGAGTAGAGTCCATAAACCAAAGTTAGTTTATACTTATTTGCGAGTCGTATAACCATACTTGATATGACCTAGAGACCTTTATAACGTTCTTCAGGCGTTAAGATAAATGACATTTGTTCACCCCAGGCGTGCCCGCCTAACTGTAGCTAGCAGTTCAGGTGTGGGATTGTCAGTCCCGAATAAATCTATTCACAAATCTCACGCTCTCCCTCCAGGAGACTCTGGTTATACTGAGATAGGATTTAACCCTGTACACCTAAGGGTACAGTATTGAAGTAGAGCCTCACAATTCTGTATAATCTAGTTTACTAGTGATAAACAGTATAAAACAATAATTATCCTTGAATAACAATACTTTATACTCTTGAGAAAATATATAACATAAACTAAATCTGCCATAGTTTATATATATATTCATCCATGAAATCTGATTTAGTAGAAACTGCCTAGAGGGTTATCCCAAACTATACCCATTATAGTTTATTAGAATTGATATGGAAAATGCTTTATAAAAACCTTTCTGAAAGCTATGAAGTTAGATTTCCAAAATAGAAGTTTCCCTTATGCTCAACATATTACAAAAAGGATAAAATATTTGAATATGCTATTAAACGTGGAATTCGTTGGTCTGTATTAATAAGTTTAAAACTTAATAAAATACTTTGAGTTTGGCTTGTATTCGCTCCCTGAAAACATTGAAAAATACGAAAAATGTAGGGGTATGAACTCACCTTGAGCGTATGGTTTGATTGAAGGATCGATATGGAATGCGGGAGGTTCAAGTGAAGCCTTGAACACGATTTGATCATAATTAACACGTAATGACACATAAAAGAGTTAAATGAAGGTATTTCACCACTAGATGTGATGGAAAACCATTCTAGAGACTTGGAACTACTTGCACTAGTGTTAGGACCTTGTAGGATTGCATGAGGGGAGTGTATGGCCACCTTGAGTGTGTGTGCGGCCCTGGGTGTGCGACCCAAGGGGTGTACGGCTATACACTCATGAAAGAAGGTGCCTTTAAAGTGTTCTCAAGGTCCATACTTGTATCCACGAAGTGTCCTAGGTCTATACTCAATTGTAGTGCAAGTTAAGGGTTCTAGAAGTGGGTTTGTGGTCCTAGGGTGAGTGTGTGGTCGCACACAGGAGTGTGCTGCCGCACACAAGGAGTGTGCTGCCGCATAAGGGTGTGTGCGGCCGTACACAGGTGTGTGCGGTCGTACACCCCACATGAAGATGTCCAAAATGTCAATTCCAAGGTGCAATAAGGCTAGGGTCATGTTTATCTCGAGTATGGAAGTCAAACTCTCACTTTGGAGGGTGTTTGAAGAGTGTGCGGCCACCTTAAAGGGGGTGTGCGGCCGCACTCACTTCCAAACACGAAGAACATGACGAATATTGCACACTTAAGGCTTAGATAGAGTGGTCTTTCATGGATATCAAGTTAGAGGATGAATTACTCACTTTCTTGAAGCTTTTGAGGGTTTGTGGTTGAAGAAGCTTGAGAGAAATGGTGTTGTGTGCTGCCAAGGTGTTAAAGGAATGAAAGGAAAGGGGGCTACCCTTTATATAGGGATAAGTATGCTGCCTAAAAGAGAGTGTGCGGCCAAGAGGTGAGTGTGCGGCCGCACACCCATGTGTACGGTCGTACACTCCCCTTAAGGGTGTGTATGGCCCGGTTTCAACACTATGCGACTTGTTGACTCATTCCTAAACTCAACCTTGGTCTTACTCAAGCTTAGAACTCTTAAATGAACCCTTAAACAACACAAGAAGTCAATAAAACAAGTGTAACATTGATTTAATCGGCTAAGTGTACAAGATAAAAGTTTTGGGTTGTCACAATATGCATTTAGTCAATGATTTTTTTGTGGCTTACCAAGTCATGAATGGAAGATATACTTGAGTCAATATCCATAAGGCTTTACCCATTCGATCCCTTCCTGGATTTGGAGATGAAATTTAAACCCTTATACCAGTGAGTGATACACATATTCTACAACTCAGCAAAACTCAGTGGTGATATGTGTTTTGATTTATTGTTAAAAAACATCTTTTAAAGATACAAATTGGGCTATCAGAAATAAGTTAGTCACCTATCATTTTTAATATTATAAAAAAACATCTTTTAGACTCAATAACAAAGAAAAGCCAAAGTTTTAGTATACCATGTAAATAGATTACATCGATAAATCTTATTGGAAAATGTTTGAGATTGATTAATTTTGGTTAATTAACAGGTTTTTTTTGGTTAACTTGCGTTGTCTGGGCATGCCGAGAAGCATAGTAAGAACCTTTCACAACCTTATTCTTTCGTTTAACTGGTTTGAATCTTATTATTAAGTTTACTTTCTCAAGGATAAATGGGTACACCATACACTCTTGAAAATAGGGTTGGGAACATTGTGGGAACATTAAGTTTACTTTCTCAAGGATAAATAGGTACACCTAATGTTCTTAATTTACTGTAATAAGGTCTTCCTGTAATAGTTGATTGGACCTACCCAACTATCCCATGCAAGGTAATGAATTTATGTTGTTCTAAATGTGTTAAAATGCTTCACTTAGGTGTTACTCAGCACATGGTTTGTGGACTATCCACATTGATTTCATGATTGAGAAGAACACATCACATCGACCAAGATCAGACCATCAACCATATTAGTGACCCCCACTGAGATTAGCAATGTAATTTGAGTAATCATCCAAAACAGGCAATGAACTTTGAATTATAGTAAATCTAAAATCAATTACTAAATTGTACATCAAACTTCTAACATTAAACCTTGAACATTTTCAATTAATGTTATCGAGTTGATATGCAATTGATTATTTAGGTATATCGTAAATTGTTTAGCTTCCCCTATTGAATTATGGCGTGAATGTAAAGTTTTACGTTTAACCGTAAACATTAGGCTTTAGTTTGGTTGTCTAACTAATGATTTTGATGAGACAAAAGCATTTGATGAGTGAATTCTTAAAATTAGTGAAGGTAATATTGGTGGCCCTAATGATGGTGAAGCTGAAGTTGAATTTCCAGAAGACGTTGTTGTTCGCTCTACAGGTGACCATATTCATTCAATTGTATCCACCATTTATCCATCATTTGAAAACCATCTTAACGATCCATCATATTTTCAAGATAAAGCTATTTTGGTACCCACAAATGAAGAATTCGATGCTACCAATGACTACATGTTAGGATTGATGAAAGATGAAGGGAAAACATATATGAGTTCAAATTCTTTATGTGAGATAGAGTTACCAGATTTTTTTTGAGGAATCAATCTACTCTTCAGTTATGTTGAATGGTTTTAAGGCATCTAGAATTTCCAACCATAAACTTAAACTAAAAATAGGTGTTCCAGTCATGTTACTTCGTAATATCGAGCAAACCAAAGGACTATGCAATGGTACTAGATTACATATTGTTAGGATTTGAAGACACGTCATTGAAGCCTGAATCATATATACTAGATTCTCTAATAAAAGAATCTCATTCCGTTTTTAGCGGAAGCAATTCCTCATATTTGTTTATTTTGTTATGGCCATTAACAAAAGTCAATAACAATAATTATCAAATGTTGGATTATACTTGCATATACCCGTCTTCACTCATTGTCAGTTATATGTTTTTTGTTTATCGCGTCACAAGTGAAAAATGACTGAAGTTACTCATATATGACGAGGAAGGTCATCCAACTAATAAAACAAAAATTTATGTCTACAAAGAGATCCTTCAACGATTATAGATATTTAGGTGTTTCATTGTTTTTTTTTTTTTCAGACATTTCAATGTTACCAATAATGCTAAGTTTGTTTCTGTTACTTTGTTTCTGTGATAGTGCCAATTTTTTTATATCTTTATATGTACATTTTTATATGTTCCCGCATTTTACACGGTTCATAATCTACTAACTATTACAATAAAATGCTAAAAGGTGGTGTTCTCGTCGAATACTTTTGGACCTGTGGTTTTGGTATTGGGAGGAAGAAATTACTTTTACCAAGTAAATGCAATAAAATTGTACAAACAACAAATAAATTAGTATTGTGTGCACGTGACCAACATGATGGTCCCACTATAATATTGAAAACTTTAAATAAATATAAGTCAAACTTCTGTCAAAAGTCAAACCCAAAAGCAAAAAAGAAAACGTCACTGCTTACGTCACCTCTCACTTAACTCGATAGACTTAAAACTATCTGACCCCAAATTTTTATACGGTCCCACCCCACCATTCACCCCTTCCTCCTCTACATACCCTTTCACCCCTCTACTTTCCCTTTTGTACCAAAACACCCCTCCAAGTAACAAAACTAACCCACACAACACCCCTAACCCAACCCATAACCCCACCACCTTATTATCTTTTCCTGCACCCACCCGCACCTTAAAATAACCCGCCTTGGTCACATCCAGAACCTCAACCACTGTTTGTATGGGGTAATCTATGGTGTAACAGAACCCAGATGTGTTACTGTACACCGCACCCCAGCACGTGCACTTCTCTTCGCACGTGAGTTCACATTTCTCTAAAGAACTCATCATCGTGTACGCCATTATCTCCTTGTTTGATAGCTCCACCCCAGTTCTTCTCAAAACACCATACTTCTTCCCGCAAAAGTCGCCGCCGGAGGTACCACACCCGCCGGAGGAGTACGCCGTCCGGTTGTCGACGCAAGAGCAACCTTTACCTGGCTGACATAAACCGTAGGGTCCACATGAGCTTGGGAGATCACACAGATCGGAGATTTGTTTGAAATCTATAACCCATGATGATCTTGTCCAGTAATATCCGATCAGGTTTCCGTCGGGTTCGAGCCGAAGTCGCCGTGAACCGGTTCCCGTTTGTTGGAAGGTGCTGAACGGCTGCACGTCGACCGGAGTTGAACCGTTTTGGTACATACCCAGAAACCCGTCCGGGCTAAGCATTGCCTGAATGGGTCCATGGTCTTTCAAGACGCGAGCTTTAGCTTCCATTGGGTTATGCTGGTAGTAAAGATGACCCGGATCCGAATTATCAACGTAATTAGCGTAAAACCCGATGAAATCGGATCCAAGCTTCATGGAATACAGCCCGTTTGAAGAAACCAGTGTCATGGCACTAGTGAAAATTTGATTCTCCATGAGGGTATTATAGGGAGAGTCAAAACTCTGCCATAGGATTAAAGAATTGTCTCCCACCGCGTCTATTAATAAATTGGAGGTGTTGGATAGGCGAACACGGTAGCCATCGGTGTAACTTGACCATAATACCACTGTTTGCGAGTCTGATATTACAAGACTGCCATTAAATGAGAGACGAGTCTGGGAGGACCACGGCGCCAGAGGACTTTTTCCGGCGATCCAAAGCTGCTCCTGGGATGGAACATGGATTATAGCAAGAGCGAGTTGAGTTCGATCAACTCGGAGGAAACCGAACGAGTAGTTACCAAGTGAGTCACTGAGTAGAGGTTGGAATGATGATATGGATGAATCTGGGGTGGCGGTGAATCCTTTGAGTAGCTCTTCGGTGGAGGCTACGGCGGAGATGGGATGAGATAGAAAAGTGAGAAGGAGGAACAACACCGGAAATTGAGTCAACCCAGAAGGGATAGTAATCTCCATGGTGAAAAACTAGGAGAAATTATGTCATATTTGTGTGGGTGTGTGTAGCAATGTGGTGTCAAGTGTGTGTATATTTGATCTGCATGGAAATGATATTATAGTGTGCCAATTGAAATAATATTATAACTTAATTGGTCTAAATTGAGGTGAGACTTTTTGCCAAAAGTAGAATGGTTATTAGATTTTTAATTACTATAAAAAAAGTTTATAAATGTTTTATTTATAATCTTATACCCATTAAATAAGTAACATTAGGTTTTTATTATAGTTAAATTAACTAATGCAAATTGTCGATTTAGGTCAACAAAACAAAGAGAATATCAATTGGGCAGAGATGATGTTGTCATTTCCATTGTTATTAAAGACTCGCATGTTATTTATGTATATATCAAAAACAAGGTAAGAGTTGGGTATCAAGTGCTTCGATGTCTTTTACGATACCTAATTTGATGGAGTTTAATATCTTATTATTTATGGATCATATAAAAAGTTTCGTATCAACGACAATAAAATTGGTTTTTGATTTTCTGAATAATTATGAAGAAATACTTTTTTAGATTATTATAGTTGACGAAAACTAATATGTTTAATATGATATTTTTTTACAAACATACAACCAACTAACTTCATATTTATGACAAAGACTTGGCCAAAACGTATTGAGTTATTGGATTTAGTTGATCCCATGTTTAGTGTTGGATGATATTTTTGTTATGATATAAATCAAACCATACATCAAAATTTGATAACAATTTTTTTTCTGTCTTTGCTTTGCATATGTATAGATTTTAAACATATCTGGAAATAGTATTAAAAAGGAAGTAAATTTATTATTGGATGACCTGGGAAGCCAATTTTCTTTTCTATGTATTTATGTTAATCATTTATTTATATTCTTGTAACAGTATAGCCGTGTATCATCAAACAATCCTGGATCCACAATGTGATTGTTAGCCCCATGTTGTAGTTATAGATGCTGCTAAATAAGTCCTTATGGACGAGCCGCACTTGTGTGTGCGTGGGTGGGTTGACATGTATAATGGTGGTTCCCTACCGGTCTCGGGTTGATCTTAAAACGAACAGTTTTTTTTTATCAGTCCCAGACGGTCTCGAGTCGGTCTTTTTTTGGCCTGGTCCCAGATGGTGTCGAACTGATTTTTTTGTTCGGTCTCAGTCTTTTGGTCCAGTCTCCCAGTCTTTGTATGTGCCTTTTTGGTTTCAAGTTTTTCGATTCGGCTTTGGTATTTTTTGATTTTTTTGTTTCAGTTTCGAGTTTTCGATTTTTCTGTTAACAAATGTATGATTCATACCAAAATAATACATTAATATACTAAAAATGATACTCTAAAATTTAATGAAAGAAAGAAGGGGAAAACTTAGGTAATGTGTGATTAAAAAAATGTATAATTAACACAAAAATGATATGTATATAAACTTTGGCTTTCAGTCTTTTTTGAGACCAGTCTCCGGTCGTGTAACACTCAAAAAATCACAATAATTTAAAATTTTCATAATCAACCATTCATCAACATTGTTTACAAAAATAGTCATTGTTTTAAAAACATTATTTCAAATCAGAGTTTTCCCTAAGACCCAGTGACATAAAACAGGTATGATCAGCCTTCGCCTTTCCACGATCCTCTGAAGTACCTGAAACGATAAACTAAAAACAATAAGTCAAAGATTAGTGAGTTCCTCTAAAGTACCAACACATACACACATATAACAACATACTATGTCTTTGGCCAAAAATCACCAAAATACCACTATGGGCCATTCTTGCAATCTTTCCCAAATGGTCAAAATGCATTAATCCTTCATACATAGGGTTAAAATCGAAAATACATCATCATCGGGATGTTACAATCCGCCCTAGTATGCCCAACGTACACAATGTACGCTCAGCGTACACAGCGTACGCCCAACGTACTAGGTCTTTGGCCAAAAATCACCAAAATGCCACTATGGGCCATTCTTGCAATCTTTCTCAAGCCCAAGGGTCAAAATGCAATATTCCTTCATACATAGGATTAAAATTAAAAATACCTCATCATCGGGATGTTACAGGTCGATCTTGGACGGGTCTCAGGCGGTCTAGTAACGGTCCGGTCTTTTTTGGGTGAAACGATCGTTTTTTTCGGACTAATCCCATATAGTTTTCGCTAGTCTTTTTTCAGTCTGGTTCCGTTTTAGAGTGGTCCGGTCTTGATCTTCTTTTTGGGTCCGGTCCGGGATCGGTCCTTTTGTTGGGGTTTATGTAAGACCACTCATTATATTAATGTAATAGCGAACAGACCCGTGTAAATACGACTATGTAAATTACACACAGCTCGTGGATATTGACATTACAAATAGGTTTATAAAAGTTCAGATACAAAAATCATTCAAACAAAAATATTTTATTTAATTATATAATGTAATAAAAAAAACATTACATAGATATTAAAATATTAGACTCTTATAAAATTAATTGAAAGCTTCGAGAAGTTTTTCTCTTCAAAAAAGCATGTCAAAACCTCCTCTAGGGACTTGATAAGAACATTGCCAATACAATTTTATTTAGAATAAAATATGGGCCAAATCCTCTTTTGAGAATATGTTGCATCCCTCGTTGCCTCTGATTTTTCCTTTTTCCAATTTACCTTATTTAAGCAAATATTTGTTATCGATTATTGATGTGTTGAGATTTAGTTTCTCATTATACTCTTTTGAAAACAAATCCACCTTGTGTTTGTAGTTTCCCTGAGATGACATGTTGAAAGAAATATCTTACGATAAAATATTATGATGGAATTCTAATGCCTATGACACATGGTTGTAAAGAGGGAGAGAACAATACATTTAAATCTGAAGATGGCTGTTAAACCAACCTAAATGCCAACTATTAAGTCAATGGTTCTCATAAATAGAAGTTAATGCTTGTAATAATTGCATAGACTCGATGTGTTTACAATCCCAAAGCATGTAGACACCAAAACGTCTCGTCGAAACCTGGTAATTCTGCAAACTGTGCATTTGAATACACTGAAAAGACTAGAGTGTAACTTAACTTACAGAGGATTCAGCGAAAAGATAGGAATTATGCGGGTAGAACTCTGATCCGGGAGCTTCTGTTCACTGGCTATCTGACACTGCAGGGCTTCTACTTGATAGCTACTACTACTTCTGGATCGCAGGGGTTCGCCGAAGCTTAAAACTAAGAGAAAATGGGGCCAAAATCGAAGGGAATCGAGAGAGAGAGAGAGAGAGAGAGAGAGAGAGAGAGAAAAGGGTGGGTGATGTGAAAGAGAGTGAGGTCGAGCACCTCTATTTATAGCCCATATGCGCGCCGCGCACACCTGAGACGTCGCTCCTCCCATTTTTTCTGCCATGTGTCGCAAATATAGTGGTACACGCCCCACCTTCTAGAAGGTGTGCGTCGTGCAACACACCTGTGCGTGACGCTTCTCGGAAAATGTAACATCCCAAAATTCAAGGCCAAAAATCTCATTTTTAAATAAGTTATTACATAAAACCATCAGTATAAAAACATTCATAATAATATCTCGTGTCAAACCAAAGTGTCAGTAATCAAAACATATTATCATAAAACCATATCAGAGTGTAATCCCAAAGATCTCATGTGCGGAAAACATAGTGTGATGCGCTGCGATCAAGTCGGCTCCTTCCCTTTGAAAACGAGTACCTGAAACCAAAACTGTAAACCGTAAGAACAAAGCTTAGTGAGTTCCCCCATCATACCACATACCATACAATCACATAACATACATATACTGCCAGGCATATCTGGGTGCCCGACCTACCCCTTCGGTCCTCTCGACCGGATACTACCTAGCATATCTAGGTGCTAGCCTCCCCTTCGGTCCTCTCGACCGGATACTGCCTAGCATATCTGGGTGATGGCCTCCCCTTCGGTCCTCTCGACCGGATACTAGGGACTATTTCACCCCCTACCACTACCACATAAAACCCTAGCATATAAACATAAATCACATACTGCCTAGCATATCTGGGTGCTGGCTTATCCCTTTGGTCCTGTCGACCGGTAACCGGGGACTATTTCACCCCCTACTACTACCACATAATATCATATCACATATATCATAATCTGGCTAGCATGACTGGGTACTAAACTACCCCTTCGGTCCTATCGAACGGTAACCGGGGACTATTTCACCCCCTATTTTCACTATCAGATAAAATCATATCATACCAGCACATAAACATAACAGGTAGTAGCAAACATAGACAATTATCATGAAGACAATCATCTAACAACTCCTACTGGTGGGCCGGCATTGTGGCCGTAGACCCACCCCTACTGGAAGGTAACTCACCTCACACTGCTGCTGGTGGTGGCTATTCTCGAGAATTCCGGCCAAAAATCGCTCCCAGCAGTCTTATACCATCGCGACACACGAGCACATACATCATAATACGCACACAGCCACCTTTCACGGTGGCTAGTGGCGGCAGAAAAACATTTCCGGCGACAGAACACTCCATACACACGCAACGATCGACATGATGCAGCAGTACACGCACTCACACAAACACGAGCAGGAACACCCGTGAAACACGACTCGACATCCAACAACTCTCTTCTTCCTATCGCTTGCTATCTCAGCTCCCATCGGCGGCCCTTGACTCCAACAGGAACAGCGCACGATGGCTGTTTGGTGGTGAAAAGCGGTGCGCATTCGACCGAGAACAGTGGCGTCGCCACCATGGTCTCGTTTCTCCGGCTTCACAGACGAGGAGGAGGCGTCGGCAGGGGTGGCAACGGACACCCGTGGAAATCACGTCGTTGACTGCACTCACCGGAGGATAGGGACTGTGATGGCTCGGCTAGTCGGAGTCGACATAAATCGGTGGCGCGACGGTCGTTCGGGGACGTGAGCGGTCGGAGAAACGCAAACCAGTGGCGATGACGGCTGGGAATGCTCACACATGGCGGCTCAGATGCACATGAGAGATGGTGACGGCTGCTTTCCAACATT